GACGGTCGTTACGTAGTAAAACTCCCCTTCAAAACTACCTTCCCAGACATGATTGCACTTGGACACTCAAGACCTAGCAGCTCAACAACAGTACCTCAGTATCGAGCGGAGCATCGAAAGAAAACCTGAACTGCAGCAAACGTACACCAAAGTCTTGGAAGAGTATCTGACCCTAGATCACATGGAACCCACAGCGTCGCAAGAGATTATACGTGATGGGAAGTATATTTCCTTTTACTTACCCCACCACGCAGTTCTAAAGCCAGATAGTAAAACTACGAAAGTGCGAGTAGTTTTCAACGCTTCCAAACTGTCTCACTCTGGCATTTCTCTAAACGATATCCTCCACACGGGCCCCGTACTTCAAAATGATTTAATGCTCATTATCCTCAAATGGCGACTGTACAAATACGTTTTCAATGGTGACATTGAGAACATGTACCGCCAGATTTACGTACAGCCAGAGGAACAAGATTTCCAAAGAATCGTATTCCGTAGAACCCCTCAAAGCTCGGTCGAAGATTTCAAATTAAAAACGGTGACCTTTGGTGTCAATTGCGCACCATACTTAGCTATAAGAACCCTGCACCAACTAGCCAAAGACTCACATGACAAACACCCAAAAGCCTCTAAGATTCTACTGAACGAAATTTACGTAGACGATATACTGTCAGGCGGACATGATCTCGACTCGACACTCACTTCGATGAATGAGGTAATTGCAGCACTAAAATCAGCAGGTTTCCCATTAAAGAAAATGACAGCAAACCACAAAGATATACTCCAAAATATACCCACATCTGACCGCTTAGAAGCAGACTTCCTCCAGTTCCAAGATTCCAGCTCCACAAAAACCCTCGGAATAAAATGGAATGCCCTTAATGATGAGTTTTCATACTCAATCGATCCTCTTCCAGACTCTAATGTAGCCACTAAAACACAAATTTTTTCGTCCGTTGCTAAACTTTTCGACCCGGCAGGGTGGCTAACGCCAATGATGATCCAAGCCAAAATGTTACTCCAACAACTCTGGATGGAAAGTACAGGCTGGGACGAATCCGTCAAACCCGGCGCGCTTCACAAATGGAACGCATTTCAAGGAAACTTAATAGCAATCAGGGAAATCCAAATACCACGATGGGTTCAGTTTTCCCTTAATAAAACTATCCAACTTTACGGATTCTCAGACGCATCCAAAAAGGCCTTCTGCGCCTGTGTCTACCTCAGAGTGGAACACAGCGAGAATCAAGTATCCTCTCATTTGCTCGCAGCGAAAAGTAAGGTTGCACCCTTACAAACAGTTAGTCTACCTCGCTTNAGCGAAAAGTAAGGTTGCACCCTTACAAACAGTTAGTCTACCTCGCTTAGAGCTCTGTGGAGCAGTCCTTCTCTCCAAACTAATCAAGCAAATTCAATCCCAACTCGATTTGCCAGCACACGAACTCACACTCTGGTCAGATTCCTCTATCGTTTTGGCCTGGTTGGAAAACCCCCCATGGA